CACACACACACACACACACACACACACACACACACACACGCCACAAATCGACGCATTTCCATGCTCTAACATAAAATCGACTTGCTCTGGCGCGCAGGGAGAAGTGGCCCGCTAGAAAAAGTTTACAATGCTAGAACAAAGTTACAATGTGATGCCGCCGTTTTCGCATTCGGGGGGCAAGAAAAAGTGCTTGCGCGTGTAAAGATGTTGGCCAGAGGATGGCGATGGCGAAGGGAATCAAAGGGGGGGCAAGATGTGGACCTTTTTGACTTGCAAAGTGCTCCGATGGACGAGCACGACTGTGCCAGTCTTGTTGAAGCTCGGTAGAAGCAGCACCCTTGTCCTTGTCGCACCACCTTCACTGCCCTCATTCCGTTTGCAAGGCTGCTGCCCTTGCTCTGACTCGGGCTCGTGCTCGTGCTCGTAGAGCGTCGTAGCGAAGCGAGGTTGGTTGCCTACAAAGTAGATGTGAGGTGAACGGGTGATGAGGAATGGATCTCGATCCGTGAACGGATAGCAGCCTGCGCGAGCCAGGGTGCAATGGCAGGAGAGTCAGCAAGCGCCATAGCTGAGTGCAGTAGCGGGATGCTGCGCAGTCAGTCTGACGCGCGAGCGCGCGCGAGCGCAGCTCACACAGGGTATCGGGAGCGGTGGGAGCTAGGTGGCCCCACCGCAGCGTATTGCAAGCCATGCGCAACCGATCTTCGTCTGTCCCTCCCTCCACGTATTTGAACAGGTCATCGATATTCTGCCCTGAAGTGCCCAAGATGCTGAGTCGGAAAGAGAGAAGAGCGGCGTGGGTGAGCTGATGTGCATATCAGCCAGCGCAAGACGAAGACGATCGTCACATGTTCCAGATCGGGTCGTGAGAAAGAGTGTAGACTCACAGAGCGTTCCCGAATGCGCTCCAGGCAGGGTTGGTGGCTCTGATGAGAGCGTTCGAGCCTTCTGCAGAGCCTGCGGATCGGGGAAACAGAGCTTTATGAAGTGGTTGTTGAGGCATGGCGAGTCCAGCAGGATCCCTAGCACCAGGCAAGATCTGCACCTGGATAGACTGGGTCAGCGCAGCCAGATAGTGATCGAGCGGATTGGTGTTGAAAGCTCGGGGCCGGCCCTAAGCCCAGATCGGTAGAGGGCGGCGAGGGTTGAAAATGTCAGTCGCTTTGCAGCACCGACGTGAGGGCATCCCGCGAGCTCAAACGTACCGCCTTGTTCTCTACTGTCCGCAGTGCTGATGGAACAGCGCAAGAGTTGCCAGCCAGAATCAGGGCCGAAACATCTCGAACTGACACACCTGCGTCGATCTTTGCGTAAAAATTCGATCGATTTCGATCGTGTCAGCCTCGCTACAGCTATAGGCTGACCACGCGAGCCGTGCCGGTTGGCTCACCTCCGATAGCGTCTCGCCCCTCAGCCATTCAGCAAGCAATTCGTTTCTGAGCATCCCTAGCCCATCATCTTCTTGTCCATCACTCGCACTTGCGCTCGTGCCCTCCTCTTCTTTCGTCTCAAAGGCCTTTTCATCCCCGACCTCTATGCCAGAGACGAAGGCTACCCACTCGCCCTTCTCACCATCCACATCCATAGCTTCGTCCCTGCTCTTTGCGTCTGACTTGGCCAAGCTTCGAGGGATGCCTGGAAGGACGACATCGACGACATCAAAGTCGCCCGCTCTAGTCTCAGTCCCCAGCACGGCACACACCACGCCGGTGACCAGACTGTCCCTCCAGCTGCGGCTATTTTGCGGCGCCGAGGTGGAAGCTTGCGAGTCTGCAGAAGCGTGCATTGCTGTTCCGCCCACGAGCCGTATCCTGCCCGACTCGTCTTCGAGAAAGATTTCGTCTGTTGCGTTGTCCGCGTATGTTGTGCGCGCTGGGACGGGGGGAAGATATTGCTGGCGAGGGCCCGCATCAGCACTGGGGCTTGTCTTGTCGGGTTTGAGCCCTGATGGGCCGCATGTATGCTCACCTCTCTGGTCAGATCTTCCAAGACATCCGGTTTGAGCCGCATAGAGCAATACACGATGCCGCAAACGACCATCATTTTGCCCTGATCAATGTCCAAGATCCTCTCCACGTACTGCACTCGATCTCGACTGCTTCTTTCCTTTTCCTCCTCCTCCTTCTCCTCCTCCTCCTCCTCCGCCGCCGCCGCTTCATCTTCCATCATCTCTTCATCCTCCTCTTCATCGTGCGCGCTGTTTTTGCGCTTGCCATTCTGCACTCGCGTGCGCGTATGCGATCCTCGCTGCATCGCTGATCCAGCTGCAGAACCATCTCCCCACCTCTCCTTTGCCTTCTTCAACAGACCCCCGCCATCCCTCTTCACGCCCTTGAGCTTCCTGAGCCTGAAATGGTACAATGAGGCGAATTGGGGCGCAAAAGATCGAGTGGAGAGGGGCACGATGAGAGGCTCGTTGAGGTCTAAGGGAGCAGATAGAAGCGCTCGACGCGACGAGGAAGAGGAGGATGCCGCCTTGCTGGGCATTCTCGTCGTCATGGCCGCTTGCGAAGGTGGTGGGGATTAGCGCAGCCGTGCGCTCTCTGCGGCGGAAATAAAGGCCAAAGTTTAGGAGAGGCTATGCGTCGTCGTCGAGATGGTCGAAAGAATCATCTCTGAAGCGTTACAGCTTTCAAATCTTGATTCATCATTGCCACTCACTCGCACACGCCGTCGATCGAGAAGCACAAGCACAAGCACAATCACAATCACGAATCGATCGACTTGATCCGCCCAGCTGACGCGCATGTGGCTGGCTGAACGTGTACGTGTTAATTGACGCACAACCCACCTTCCGCGACGCGTCACGCGGGTACGGCAGTCGCAAGGCCGGGGGGGGCTCTGATCACGTGATAGTGCGTTGCACGCACGGTCTCTTGACGTCGATTCTTGACTCATCAGACTCAACTTCTCCAACAGTTTCCGGCGAGTTGCACAGGGCAGGGAAGCAGCACAGAAGGACGCTAGAGAGCTGTTCCATCGGGATCGACCTGAAAGCTTGCATGGAGGATACGACACAGCATTCGAGTCTGTACATGGCTCAGTCGAAGCGTATGGAGCCTAGGAGACAGATTGAGAACTGCGCTTCGGTTCGCAGTAGACACTTTGATCGAAGAATCAACACCTCGATTCACCAGCTTTTGCCTCGATTCGAATTTGAGTCATGAATCCTTGATCGAATCGCTTTGTGCGCTTCTACTGTCGCGCTTGTATTCAACGGGGATGATGGTGTTTCACATTATTGATGGCGGGTCTGAACTCTGTAAACATGCACGTTTATGCGCGTTGTGCGTGCGCGACACTGTGACTACTGATTTTCAATTCGCGACTCATCAGAGTGAGAGTAATCGTGAAGAAAGAGCCTCATTCACCATTGTGATTGTGATTCCCTATTTTAAATCCAGAATCTGATGATTCGAATTCGTCTTGCGGGCACATTCAAATACATGTGTTGGCATCGCCACAAGTCAAACAGTCAGGCTTGGAAGAGTGACACATGTGATGAATATTAAACGAAAGCACATTTCCTTAGCCTTTGTAAACGTTACATGAACATCTCATGATTGCAACCGCATCCTCCGCTTACTTTCATGGAAGACGACCCTGAGGCGCACCCCACTGCTGATTCTCGGGCGCACCGGTCCAGACCTTTCCGGGGGTTGTACCGGTGTTTGGTTGAGTCCACTGCTGACCGGTGGGCAGGTAAAGATGCGTCTGATCATTGCCATCCTTGTCCTTGTACTGCTGGTTCCCCTTTGGACCTTGTTGAGCATATCCGGTCACGTGGGGATGTCCATCCGTTCCGCTTATGTGGAATCCAGTGCTGGCTTGATAGCCGGTCATTTTGGGATCGTTGTTGGCATTGTGAAACTTGGCGGCCGATTCCGCTTCCTTTTTCTCCTTGTCCGACAGGTTTTGACCCTTGGGCGAGTAGGACATGCGCACTGGAGCACCGCGTCTCAACTGCAAGATTGGAAACGGGCAGATTCAGCGACGAGAAGCTGCCAGCGTCTCCATGGATCACTTGCAACTCACGTATTGGCTAAACACGACATCCGTCGCAGAGCGCGGAATTGGGGCACAGTATACAAAAGACTGAGCAGCGACGAGCGCGACGAGAGCGATGAAGAGGGCGAACTTCATGATGGGCAGAAAGATTTGCAGTGATGAACGGAGAGCGAAGTGATGGGCAAAAATGCGAATTGTTCAAGCAAACAATCAAGGAAAGAGATGTGAACAGCTGCGACTTTTCTGACCAGCAGAAAAGATTGAGCGAGAAGAAGATAAAGCAGAGCGATTGGAGTTGGAGTGGGTGTGTGACCGTTGGTGAGGAAAGGGGGGGAGGACATGAACGAGCTCGTCGAGGGCCCTTCTTATACCCTTCTTCCAGCAACAACGAGGCGGACGGATCGTGCCCTTCTGTAAGCACAGCTCACGCGAGCTGGACTTACGACTGACTTGGCCGAGCCCTCAATCGAATGTACCGCTGAGCTGGACGATGCAAGAAGGGATTGGCAGCCAATGCATGCGATGCGGATGGGCGCACAATGATTTCCGACATCGCATCACTTGCATCAGCTCCACTTGGCGTTTCCTCTGTCCGATGACTGTGCATTGCTGCCTAGCCCGCAATCGCAATCTTCGGTAGCGCTTGTCACGAAGCGACGATCGCGCGACGTGGTCGACGTCAGGAACCACGCCATTCGAGCACGAGATGCGCTTCGGGTCAAAGCGGCACAACCTACATGCGGGGCCCGGATGTTTGCAGAGGCCCGTGTTCGGCAGAATTGATGCGCGCATGCATATATATGCACGCGCGACCTCGTTTTATTTCCTTTTCATGCACGCCCACGACGCCCGCGCTAAGGGCATGCATTTGCATGCATGCATGGGCGCGCTGAAACTCATGACTCACGACTGATGCAGGTTACTGCATTGCTGATCTTTACACTCACGACGCACGAAAGCTGCGCTATAGCTACGGTATCGTACAGTGTACATATATACAGCTGCTTCTGACGCGCTGTTCGCGGCTGCTGCTCTTCTGCTGATGTAGGGCACGCTCACTTCGCCGAAAAGGCCGTGCGCGCGCGCGCGCGCGCTTCGAGAACGAAGGAGCGCGCTCGGGCGGCTCGTCGGTTACTACTGCATTTGTGATCCATGCAGCCTGACCCTAAGCCTGTACTCTTCACCGACGCGAATGTGACACACCGCTCCTCACGTCTCGCCGCGCATCGACCATCGACCACTTCTCTCCCTCTCTCCCTCGCTCAGGGCATCTCGTGTTGAGCCGCGCACCCGCACCCGCACTCGAGCGGACTGCTCCGTCCATGTCTCTAACATAGACGCACACTGCGCCGACGTACAGTTGTGAGCCCTCTTTTTTGCTGCATCAACTTCTGAAGCACCCTCTAGCTCATCCATCCTTCTCATCCACGCTCTATTCCTCCTTCTCAACCATCATCTCCCTAAAGACGACAAATCAATTACCAAGACTAACAAACGCTTTCACACGGCGCGCACAAGACTCAAGAGGTACTCGCAGCGCAAAAGAATCGAGAGAGGAACGAGGAAAAAGAAATGTCATCCGTACTACTCAGAGCTCCCGCTTACCATGCCGAGCTGTGGCAGTTTCTGGCCGCCCACGAGAATGTGGCGAGTCGAATCACCTCGCTGGAGATCAAGCGCGTGAACAAGCTGTACCATTCGCCCGCGCCAGCTTCCACTTGCGACGCAGCGCTGGGCAACGAGGTATGCGCGCTGCTCAAGAATTTCGACGAATCCTCCCTCGCACCTCCAGATGGCGGTGTGGATGAGGAGGAAAAGGAGGCGAGCGACGCTCGTTCGAAACGCGTGCACGCGTACCGCGAAGCCGAGCTGCCTCTCATTGCCGCCATCTCCAAGATGAAGCATTTGCAAACATTCAAGTGGGACTTTTTCCCACCCGTACACGACGCGCAGCTTGGTAGGCCTGCTCAAGAGCCGCCGCTGTCCAGCATCTGGCAGGCGCTCTCACAGACTACAGTCAAGGACGTTGTGGTGGCAGATTTGGCGAGATACAGGCGATTAGAGTGCGCCGACACACAAGCCTTTGACCACATCCTGCCAATCTTTGAGGGAGATGTGAGTCGGTGGATGTGATGTGCCACACATTGCCCGAGATTTTGAACGACTTTGCTGACTGCTGCGCGTCGAGCGCATTCTTGCAGCTCTTTGCTCAAAAGCTTGACAAGCTGGAAAGCTTCGAGATATCGACGGATGCCTTCAACTTTGAGCCCGAACCTTTTGTCGACATTCCTGATCAGCCAGACTTGACCAGGCTAGCTGCCTTCTTGTCGCAGAACGCCTCGAAGCTCAAGGTGAGAAGGGTCAGCTCATCTGTCCCCGCTTGCTCTTGCTTTGTACTGACATTGGAGTCGCATGCGTGTCACCATGAAGAGCGTGAGGCTACTCTTCCAGACGGACGGCGCACGTCGACCCGCGCACCTGTCCGAGACGTATGCCAGCGAGCTCCCACCAGAAGAGAGGCAAGCGGGCGAAGTGAAAGTGGACGAGCTGCTCGAATCCTTGTGCGGAAAGCTTGCGGCGCTGCAAGAACTCGTTGTGCGAGATGTTGGCGCGTCGGAACAAAGCGTCGAGGCGTTTGTGCAGAGCTCGCCAAATCTCCAGAAGCTTGAGCAAGTACCTTCTCTGGGCGTTCAGTACGGGCCAAAGCAGGGAGTGCGCCTCTCGACTGCTGTCAAACAGACGTTGCAGCGACGGGCCAAGTGATGCACGACAATCACGAATGTGAATGTGAGCTGGGGAATGGACAGCGCGTTCAATTGAATGCGTTTAGTGCAGACTTTTGCGCAGAGACGCTCGTGTGCTCGCCTCACGCTCCTCCTCATCGACACGATCGCGGTGCTAAGGACGCTTCGATACGAGCGAGCTCATTTGTGTCAGCGTTCCATCGCTTTCCAGCCCACGGCGCTCAAGTGGGAAGAATCAATCTTGAATCGAATCGAGTCGAGTCACGAGCGCGCATTTTCACGTGACAATCTGTTTCGCTTGATTTTGCTTAAATCCGCACTCAAACTGTAGATCGCGCCGTGAGTCTGTTACGTCCGGCCGAGTCCGCTTAGACCGACTTGAACGCCGTGCATGGGGAGCGCCCCTCGATCGGCACGATCGGCATCAGCAAGCACAACATGCCGGTGCCGCATTCGTGCGGCGTTTCTGCCGCGTTCGTGCTTCGGACTAACCGCACGCGCCTTTTCCTGACTCGCCCTCCGTTCTCCGTTTGTGATTGCACGCGTGTCGTTTTTGGGTCAGGAGTCGAGAGCGCAGCAGCAGGGTGATTGATACGTACCCATCGGGCGTCAAGTCGAGCGTGGTTCTTTGCAGATTTGCAGCCGGCGCTTTCGTCACTCGCCCTCATCGTAGTCTCTTCCCCATTCAATCACGAATTTCTCCCTTTGCCATCCTTTCTTGCGTCCGGCCTTATCCCCCTTGCGGATGATGTGACATTGCGCTGCTCCACGACGGGACTCCATTATAAAGTGCTCTGCGCAGTGCTCGCTTCCACTCCACTCGCGACGACAAGACAAGACATCCCCCTCATCCTTTCCTCGACATTGCGACCGCACAACCATGTCATCAGCACGTTCGCAGTCGCTCAGTAGAAGCGCGAGTAGGAGTCCAAGCTGCACCGACTTGGGCAGCTCCCAAGAACATGCAGAAATGACGCACAGGCCGGCAAACGCAACTGACAAGGAATATACGGACTGCGATGGTGATGGTAACGTGCCCAGCAGCTGCAAAGAAGAAGCAGCAGCAGAAGCTCAGCCTGATGCTTTGGAACGATGCATCAGCACGCACACCACGCGCACGCTAGGTCCGCCGCCTGACGGAGGCCTTTTAGCATGGACACAAGTCGTCGGTGCATTCTTCTTGTTCGTCAACTCGTGGGGCATTGCCAACACGTATGGCGTCTATCAGACGTACTACGAACAGACGCTATTCAGCGACCATTCTTCCGAACAAATCGCATGGATCGGTAGTTTGCAAAGCTTTCTGCTGCTCATCGTCTCTGCTCTTGCTGGTCCATTGTTCGACAAGGGGTGAGTCGTGCTTCCTCTCTCTCTCTGTGGCCGTGCACCTGCTCATCCCACCCCCGCCCGCGCTCACACGCTGCCCCACAGCTACTTTCGCTCGCTCGTCACACTCGGCTCTCTGCTCGTCGTGTTCGGCATGATGATGACCAGCCTGTGCACTGCGTACTGGCAAGCCATCCTAGCACAAGGTTTAGTCGTCGGTGTAGGAGCGGGTTGCTTGTTCGTTCCAGCAGTCAGCATCGTAGCCACCTACTTTGACAAGAAGAGGGCTCTCGCTGTGGGCATCGTTACAGCCGGATCGTCCATTGGCGGCGTCGTGTATCCCATCATCTTTATTCGATTGGTCGACAAGCTGGGTTTCGCTTGGACAACGCGCATCATCGCTTTCATTGCGCTCGCTACGCTCATCGTGCCTAGCGCCGGCATGAAGCCGAGAATCAGAGCGGCGAAAGCTCGACCTTTGCTGTTGCCGCGCGCCTTTCTCGAAGTGCCGTACTCTACCTTTACCCTTGGCCTCTTTACCGGATTTATGGCCTTGTGAGTTGGTGCGCGTCGTGGGGTCAGCAGCATCTTCAGCTCGTGACTCTTCTTCCCGCCCCACACCCGCAGGTATATTCCATTCTTCTTCATCACACCCTACGCACGCGCTCAGACGGGCGCCAACGCCACTCTGGCAACCTACATGCTACCCATTCTCAATGGCGCATCCACATTTGGACGCGTGCTGGGCGGCTCGGTAGCTGGCCGCATCGGTCCCCTCAACACGCTCATACCTTGCACTCTAGCAGCAGCAATATTGGCATTCGCATGGATCGGCATTCACAACGTCCCAGGCATCATCGTCTTTTCCGTACTGTATGGCTTCTTCTCCGGCACTTTTGTCAGCTTGCCCCCCTCCACCATGGCTGCGCTCAGCTCCGACTTGTCACAGATCGGAACGAGGATGGGGCAGAGCTTCTTTGTTGCTGGCTTGGGTGTGCTGATCGGCACACCGGTAGCGGGTGTGCTTATCAAGGTGGGTGGGTGGACGGCAGCGCAACGCCACGCCAGCTTGACCGCATTGCTGACGCTCTCGCTTGCAGGGCGACGACTTTGTCCGGACACAGGTCTTCTGCGGAGCACTCATTGCCGTATCAGTCGTTTTGATGGTCACTGCTCGAGTGGTCAGGACAGGACCCGTACTGCTCGCCACATCTTGACATTCAATTTGACGATGTACCCCCGACTTGCACGCGCATGAAGCGGCAATTAGTGGTCCGAAGCGCCGTGTCCAAATACCGAAAGTGGGTCGGTGGGTCAGCTCGTTCAGAGCGATCATCATGCCTCGGCGTCCATGCGCACCACGCGGCCTCAGAATTTGCCCGCTGGCGGTCTGACCAATGGAAATACGGTCGGCGCAGAGTAGCTCTTTGTGTAGCGAGGTGTTTTCTTGGCCCCTGGCGCCGGCCTCCAAAAGGAAGGATATTGCGACACTTGATCCATCCTCTGCGACTTGCTCAGCGCATTAAAATCGCCGCTTGTCCGCTTTTTGGACGAGTATTTGGGAATGGTGGATTTGAAAGGCGTCCTCGGCTTAAAGTAGTTGATGAGCTGGAAGCCATAAATAGGCTTCAGTTGGACGCTGCAAACTAGCAAGATTTGAGCCGACGAACGCACCTTGCTAAAGACACTTCGAGCGACCAGCGCCGAGTCTCTTGGCGGCGAATCAGAGTCCTGCCTTGGCAGTGGATGTGGATGTGCGCAGGCGAGGCCTAGCACGAACAAGAGCAATGCGGCAGCTAGGCGCGTCATTGCTGGAAAAAGCAGGGGAATGGCGCAACTAAAGAGAGCGAGGCCGGGTGGTGAGAATGGGATTGAGAACAAGCAGCGGACAGATGCGTAATAAAATTTATGTCTTTCTCTGCGAGGCTTGTACGCCACGCTGACGACATCGATCGACGAATCGCAGCAGTATCAAAGCTCTGCCGAGTCAGCACTTAGAGCAAAGACTCGGCAGTCTGCGGCCGACACCGTATGTCCCACGTTGAGAGGATATGCGGTAGGAAGTGGGTCCTTCGAAGGAAGAGCCACCGCAACACGATTGCCTCTTTTCGCAACGCCTGCGTCGGCGGCGTTGGCGCGCGGCAGCGGGACGGCCCGCGTGGCGCCGCTTTGCGCCACCACTTTTCTGCTCGTGCACCCAGCATCTACCGGGTGCCGGTATGTTGACAGCACGGTCAAAGGCGCCGACTTTCTGCGAGCGGTAAGGCGCAATAGCGAAGCACACCACCTTTGTGGAGGCGCACGCCCAGATTGCCTTCAGGCTTGAGGCACGTACTACAATTAGGTCTCAGTAGATCGTGGTTGGGCCGCCAGATAAGCCTTGAGCGATGGCGGGGTCGATTTAGAGTGTCGTGCTCGGTCAGAGGAGCGCGGTCCACGCCTCTACACTTCCACATTGTCCATCGATCGTTACAAGAGCGCCCTCGAAAGCGTCAACGAATACTTTACATCTTTTCACATCCACACACCCCATCCCACTTTCCAGCTGGTCTGGACTTTCTCCTCGTCGCCTCTACACGCAGACGTGCAGCTATGCGCAGCCTCTTTCTCATCTCGGCTCTTCTCTCGATACTATGCGCATGCTCGCAGGTATGGGCCCGAACAGCCCTCTTGCCTGACCGCAGCCATGCTAACAATGCTGCGATCCAACGTCGAGGCGTCTTCGGAAAGGTGCGCCCCTCATGCTCTTGCCCCGTAAAATTGGCGTTGCATGATGACGTCCAGCAGACGGAAATTGTTGACGCCTCACTCTGATCTTTTTCAGATCGTTGGCAGGCTGCGACCAATCTTGTCGGGTCGCACCAGCAAGGCAATCCCAACGCAAGTGTCACGCACAAGTCAATTCACAGTCTCGGATATCGCAGAGGTTCGTTGTTTCGAAAAGGTGAAAGCCGAGCAGCACAACCGCTCATCCTCATGCGCTGTATCTATCCAGGCCGCATTCCCTAGTCCTCGCATACAACATGCTTTGCACGATGCAGCGCGACTCGGACGCAACACTGTGCCCATGACAACACAACCATACCGAGTGGTGGGAGAGGACGGCAAGCCAGTGCTGCGTCTCGGCCGTGTGAGTATACGTGGACATGGCTTCTCAGGAGCGTAATAACCCAACGTTATTTGAACATGACCAGGAGGTCTGGGGAGTGCGACGAGTGCCGCTAGGCCCCAACACACGCATTCCCTACGTATCACATCCTCAGTACCAGGAGATGCTCGACAAGATCCAAGCGGAAACCAAAGAATTGTTGAGAGAGAGCGATAGTCTAGCCTACAAGGGTCCGCGACCGAGAGCTCGTTCGTAAGAGATGGCCGGCCATCTCGGCCAAAGGGCGACAGCTGAATCGCCTGATTGCCGACAAGGAACAGCTTTGCTCGTACGCGTGCCTTTATCGAGGTAGTCAAGAGTTTGAGTCTGTGTTGCAGCTCGCGCGCGCCACACGAGCATGATATCATCGCAGGTGTACCCGGCTGTAGCCTGCACATCAATCCCACCATCGTGAATGATATCTGTCAGTCTGCACGCTATCAAATTGCCCAGTGCTTCTTTCGAAGGCTCTTCCCATCCCCCAGCGTCTGATGAAATCAAGTAAAATCCCTACCAACTTGAAACGTCATTTTACAGGCGCATGAGACAGAGCTCATAATGGAAGCAAGGAATTTGAGGCCATGTACATCATTCACAAGGACCCCTCCATCTTGCCACCTTTTGCAGTCACCCGACTGCCCTTTGTGGCCGCTTCAATAACACCCTTGTCCAAAGTCCAGAGTTACACGAAACAGTTCACTGCTCATCTGCTCAGAGCAGCAGACTACATCGCCGCTGTGTTGTGTCGCTATCTAGAACAGAGCAGGTGCACTTTAAAGGGCTGCTCTTGGCGTCTTGTGCCATAGCATGAAGGGCTAGCAATTTTCCCAGGCTGTTGAATCAAAACTTCAATTCCTTGGCCTACCCGAATGGTCCGACTTCCAAATCACGTCTCCATTCTGTCGTTGAAGGCAAAGACTCCCAGTGCAATCCTCCGTAACTTGAATGTGCAGTTCTTGGGAGCCGCAAGGTAAAGAGTGCGTGGACAAGTGGTCTGGATGACAAAGCGCCTCTTTCTTTTGTACAAGCGCAGAAAGTTCAAGAAGCCAACACTGCCTGCGTCCACTGCACACCAAGTTGTTCGCCAGGCTTGTGCGAAGCTGAAAAAATTTCGCGACAGCTTTGGAAATCTTGCCGAGCACCTCGTGTGGTCAAGTACAGCTTCAAGCCCTGGCCGCTTGCTGTCTGGCAAAGGACCTTTTAACAGTGATGCCGAGCCGGGAACAGCCCCTCGAGCTCGCCCAATTTCATCATGCGCAAAGACAAAAAGCATCGACACTCTGCTTAGCAAGGGTATAAATAAGCTTGGTTCATGGTCAGCATCTTTGAGTGCTTTTCATGCTCGTGCCCACCGCATCATGCTGAGCAAGCACCTCTTCATCAGCACATGAAGAAACCTACGACCACGGACACGACTCTCTGCGCGAATGAAAGCTTGCTCGCTGCGCAAAGTGGCTGTGAAATCGATGTAAAAGGCGCGGCAAGTGCTGTAGCGAAACCCCGCGTTGGGTCTGGGGAGCAGCACGCGATCACAGACCCTTGTGCTTGTATAGGTCGCCCCTACCCACAGATCCGAGCGAAATTCAGCTCACCAGCGCCTCGCCTCGCACAACCCGAGCATCCTCTTGCTCTCCATGAAGCATTCCGAACTTTGGGGCGCTTCCCAGGCCGGACCCAAGGTGGGGCGCTAGAAATACAAGCTTCCAGCAAAGATGACGTCTCTGCGAATCAAGTTTTGCGCTTCCTCCATCTTTGCAAACAAGTCGAAATCTCCAATGACGCGCGCCGCGTCCCTGACCTCTCTGCACGTCTCGTCCAGTCGCGTGATGCAACGCACAATGGTGCCCTCTGCTACGTCTGTCAAGTCGGTGATTTGTGAAAAAGGCTGGCCGGCAAAGTCGAGCGGGTGGGGGATTAATTAGCGCGAACGCGAGCGAGCGAAGCGCGATGGGCCCAAGCGCTCCACTCACCATGCCCTTTGCCCACTCGTAGACGACCTCGACGAGCCCGAGCTTGAGATCAGTCTCGTAGTCGATGTTGTTCAGTTGATGCTGCGTCTGCACCGCACTGACCCGTTCCGAGATGCGAAGAATGTTTGCAAATGCCTGAACAAAGCCGGGGAGACACGGGGGCGTCCCCGCTCAGCGAACGAAAATTCGGGTGCGACGCCGTAGCGTGACGCAGCATCTTTTTGCCCCTTTCGCTCCAACTCACCTCTGCAAGCGCCTCTGGCAGCTCGGTGGCCACGTCGGTCTTTTCTTGAAAAACAAAGACAGACAGTAGAGCTACGCATTCTTCGGGCTTGAGCAGGGTAAAGAAGCCATCGAGGATGAGTTCTGTGAGGAGCAATTCGTCTGCGCTATTGATTTCGCACGCCACGCGACCTTTGAGCAGCACAGCTTCGCTGACGGGATCGACGAAACGCAGAGCTTTGAGCACACCTATGCGAGCTTCGTAGTCAGGCAGCAGGTCGAGGTTCTGATCAGAGATGGAATGCTGAAGCTTGGCGATGCGCGCCATTAGCGTTTTGCGCGTGTGCATCGTGGCATACTGGGGTGGGGCGAGGGGGGGAAGAGATCGTCAGCTTCTCTGCGTAAGCGCTGCGCGAGCGTTGCGCTAGCGAATGATTCGTCGCCACGCACCTCGGACGGGAAGTGCTCCTCCTCCACCACAGCACCATGCTGAGCCAGTCTCGCTGCATAGGCGTCGCGCGAACGAAGCGCTTCCTGGAATTCCAATCTGCGGATGCGAGACCAGTCCACTTCCGGCGCGCTTTCCTGCCTGCTCATTTCGGCAGCAAGCGGCGCGATCATGTCGGCAGTGCGCTGCATGGCAGAGATCCTATGTGCGAGGATCATGCTTCCTTCGATCTGGCAAAAGTGCGCGCGCCAATGTCAGCAAAAGCGAGGGAGGGAGACAGGCGTCGCGAAAGCCATCGATCGGGTTGCGCTTGCGCTGGCGCACCTTGAGAGCATGCGGCGTGACTAGCGCAATGGAGCCCAGAGACACCTCGCGCAAATCGTAGACGATGTTTTCCGATGGGACTGCGCAGCGAGGAGGCCAGCGTGGTGGTGGTCCATGCTCGCCTGGCGCGTCTGCAGCGAGCAGAAGTTGTTGGCAATGCATCAGCGTGCTTGCGTGCTTGCTTGCGCTTGCGTGCCCGCGTCGGGCACTCACCAAAGTCGCCATTCTTGCGAGCCGGCGCGACTGCAGCGAGCACCAAGAATAGTGCCGGACCAAGAGTCTTGACGAGGACAGCAGCGTCCCAATCGAAATGCGCGTCGCGGAGCAGTATGACCCTACCAGGAGCCAGCATCTTGTTGCCCTGTTGGTGAGCCAGGGCAACCTCCAGCATGGCCTCATTCGAAGACACGCTGTTCTGACAGAGGTCGTAAAATGTGCTCAGAACATCGTGCCGCTCGGGTGCGACGGACGGTATGCGCGCGAGTTGCCTCTCGACCTGCAAGTCGGTGCGTGCTGGGTCAGGTCAGCGTGACGCGTAGTGCTCCCCCCCGCACCCCCCAATGTTTCCCTCTATCTCCACGCGCCCACTCACCGCCTTGACTTTTTTCTGTTGATCCGGCAACAATCGCTGGCTGGCGTTTTCGGAAAATGACCGCTTGATCATCTCTTCCACTTTGAGCGCCTCGACGCGCAAAAGATTCAAGATCATATTGTACGTCAGTCTGAATTGGCTCGTCAACTTTGTCGGCTGACCCAGCAGCATCTTGTTGAGGATTCCAGTCTGTCGAGAAGGAGCAGGAGAGGCGTGGCAGCGTGAGGCGCTCGTCAATGCATCTCGAGTTGTCGTGCCGCGCGCTGCTCACCTCTGGGATATCGTCAGCGGCATTGATGATCACCACACCGGTAGCGTCTAGACCACGTCGACCAGCACGACCGGACATTTGCGTATACTCGCCCGCCAACAATTCTCGAAATTCGTGTCCATCGTGTTTGCGAATGCCGGAAAAGACGACGCATCGAGCGGGCATGTTGACGCCCTGAGCGTGGGCGTCGGCGTGGGAGTGGGTGAGCGAGCGAGCGAGCGAGCGAGCATCGAGAGGGTGCATCGCACGCGCGACCTACCATGGCAAAGGTTTCTGTAGCGAACAACACCTTGACCAGTCCGCGTTGGAATAGCAGCTCGACCACCTGCGAAAGAGGGAGAGAGCGGTACGATACGATGAGCGCACGTGATCGGCATGTTGCGCTCCGTCACCGTCGCCGTCGCCGTCGCCGTCGCCGCTGCAGCTGCTGCTCACCTCCTTGACGATGGGCAGCAGACCTCCGTGGTGCACACCGACACCTCTGCTCAGCAGGTCTCGCATGCGCGCAATCTGCGGTAGCTGCTTGTCCGTACCTGGCGCGCGCAGGGTCAGGGCGGGAGCGTGTGAGTCACGCGCGCGAAGGGGGCCCAACCAATCGTGAATCCTTTTGAGCACTTTTTTTCGCCCTCGCGCCGCTGGCAACTCGACTCACCCTTCAATCTAGTCAGACTCTTCTCGATGAGCACATGCACTTCGCTCTTTTCCTTTGCATTGCACAGATCCGTATTCGGCAAGCTGCTAGCATACTCTTCGCAACGCCGCTTCGAAAAGACGAAAGCGACGACGGGAAGCAGATCCTTCTTCTTGAGCATGCCGATGAGGTGCACCCACAAATTCTTGTCTCCTGCACCGTGAGACTTGTTGGAGCCCGCGCCTGCGCCCCCGCCCGCGCCCATGCCCGCTCCACCTCGACCCCTCATGACTGGCGCTCCAGATGCGCGACCACGCTGCGGGGCTCCTCTGCCTCGCATTGGCGCGCCACCACCGCCGCCGCCGCCGCCGCCACGACCGCGCGACACGGGTGGCAGACCAGCAGCTTCCCTCTCCTTGTCTTGCCGCTTGCGTATCGCTTCCGACGCTTCCTTGATCCCGCTGCCCAAAAATTGTCCCCTCGCATCCACAATCTTGTGCAGCTCTTTGCCCGCGTACAAAAAGTGCTCCAACGGTACGGGCCTCTTTGCAGTGCTGATGACGTAGATGTCCTTCTTTTTTGTTCGACCTACCCAATCGGCAAATTCTGTTTGGCGGGCGCGCGCGCGCGCAAAACCCCCGCGTTTAGCCTGACGCTCTCATCTCATCTCGCCGCGCGCACGCACGCACGCAAACTCACCCTTGGTGTTGGGAACGGTGGCGGAGAGGAGGATGAGGTTGATGTGTTGAGGACAGAGAATGATGACCTCCTCCCACACCACGCCTCGCTCCTGATCATTGACGTAGTGCACCTCATCAAAGACGACGAACTCGACGTCTCGAATCAGATCAGCGCCCCTGTACAGCATGCTCCTGAGGATTTCCGTCGTCATGATGAGACAAGGAGCTTCTGGATTGATCTGCACATCGCCAGTCAGGATGCCGACATTTTGAGATCCGAATGTCTGCTTAAAATCGCGATACTTTTGATTGGACAGGGCCTTGATGGGTGAAGTGTAGATGCAGCTGTGTGCGCGGGTGCGTGTAAAAGCGCGTGCGAGTCAAGAGTCTGGGCGTCTGCGTCAGCAAGAGCTTGCCACGAAAAAGGCGCGCGCAACCCACCGTGTCATGTGTTTCATGGCCAGAGCCACGGCGTACTCTGCCACTACCGTCTTGCCTGCGCTTGTGTGAGCAGCGACAAAGACGCTATCGCGCTGCTCGAGGTGGTACACGGCTTCCTTTTGAAACGCGTCCAGCTCGAACGGGTACTGTGGGAGAGGAAATGGGTGAGGCACGCACGTGATCAGCGTGTGTCGCGCGCTGATTCTCACGCCTCGCCTCGCCTCGCCTCGCCTCGCCATTCCTGGATTCACCTTTTGAGCCATGTCTGGCACGAGCTTGTGAAAGTCTGGCATGCCCTTGGAAGGATCGACGACGTGCGCCCAATCTCTTTTGATGTGCATGCCTGCTGCTCGTCCATTGGCTCTGCTTGCGATGCCGAGGCCCATGCCGGTGGTGGTGGGGGGTGCGGCAGGCAGCAAATCGTCGAGAATGTCTTGCTGTTCCGCATGCTTTGTTGTTTGCGAGGCCATAGAGTCGGATGGCATGGATGCTGCGGGTACGGGTGCGGCGACTCGATAGTAGGGCGTGTAAGGCTGCACGTTGCTGGTAAGGATTTGCAGGTGCTGCTGCTGCTGCTGCAGAGACGCATCGATGATGGAAGGGTCGACAGACTGCTGTGCTGCTGCTACAAGCTCTGCTCTCTCTTGAGCTGCTTGCTGGGAGAAGCGAGCGCGCTGATCTGCAGTCATGAAGCCCCTGTGAAAGCCTGGTGGGATGTTGCGGAGCGCTGGTCAGGCGAGGCGAGACGATGCGGAAATGTGAATGTGAGTGTGAATGTGAATGGTGCGAACGCTGTGTGAGGCCTTGCACTTCATCCGAGCGCGACCTCGATTGCGACTCACCATTGCCCGCCTCCGTCTCCGCCCCCGCCCCCGCACCCGCACCCGCACCCGCAACCGCCTGCTCATCATCGATGACCTCATCCAATCCTCCCGGTCTGAACATCGAGCTGCCCACCTTGCCCCTCACAAACGCATTCTGATTTTGACGCTGCTTTGCATCTCTACACAACAGCGGCACCTTGACCTCTTGCGTCCCCACAATGCGTCCATCCAATCCGGCTCGCACGAACCTCAACGTGGTGCGCGAGGAGGAGGATGAGGAGCATGGTTGGTGCTGCAACAGACTGACGAGATTGGCTGGGCGATCCCAATGAAGTGCAGCCGGGGATGATGAAGACGAAGACGAGGAAATGAGGGAAGATGAGATGCTCAATCGAGGATGCAAGAAGCGTTGTTGAAGAATGTGGCGGATGTGTTGGGCGGTGTAGATGGGATCACCAGGCAGCGGAAGGTGTAGAGAAGAGTGTACAGCCTGCTTGCATGCTCCACCCTCATCACTGGCTCGACGAAGCAGCGCTGGAGAGGCGTCGCTGACGAGCGCATCGCTGGTGCTGCTGCTGCTGCTGCTGGTGGTGGTGGTGTGTGCGGATGCCATCTCGATTCACTCGTGACTGATTGGTGGCAGGTTTGCGTGCGTGCGTGCATGCGTGCGTGGGTGCTTGCAAGCGGGTGGGCGCGTCTACGTGTGCGCCGCTGCTCGGGGTGCGTTTGACGAATAGCAAGCAAGGCACCTTGCACGCCGAATCGTGAGCCGTGTGGTGTGAGGATCATGACGGCCGTCGCGAGTCTTGAGTGGAGAGCTTGCTGTTCGCATTCGTAATTCGCAGCGGTGCGTCTGTACGCAAGAAGATGCCTCTCTGCACTCACACGCGCGTCGCATAGGGTCCTGCATGCAGCTGTGATGCGCCAAGTGCCTCCTCAACACGTGATGTGATTCGCGTGTAATGATGTTGGTGGGCATCCCGCGCAGTGCGGTGCGAAAGACACTCATCACACTCACACTCACACTCACACTCACCAAGCGCACCTTATCCAAACTCATCCGGCCACTTACAGCTCCAAAGGCAGGCAGGCAGCAAGGGCGGATAGCGGGAGGGCAAGAGATGAACAAGCTTCGGGCATCCTCGCACTGCTCAACACACGCGCACGCCCACGCACACGCGCACGCCCACGCGCACGCCCACGCCCACGCGCTTACAGCATCCTTTGGCCAGCAGCACACCAATCGCCAGAGCACCATGACTTCTCGCGCCAGCGGCAGCACGCTCGACACTAGCCAATCAGGCGATGCTACACGCTCAGCATCTCCAGCCAGCATGAGCAACAGCAACAGCACTCGCGCCACCAACAGCACTCGCGCCTCCGATCAAGCATGTATGCGCTCCAGCACTTCTCGAACCGGTCTGCACATTCGAGCCAAAACTTCCGAAGCTCTCCATCTCGTCAGTCATCGCGAATGGGCGGAGCTGAAGCAGGGCGCCAAGAGCAAAGCCAGAGCGGCTGCTCAGGGAATCGCTAGCAGATCCGCACCCCTCCGATCCGATAGCGCTCTCTTCTCACCCGCGCCCGCGCCTGCGCCTGCGCCTCACCCCTCCGCCCTCGCCTCATCCCGATCCTTCTCTTCGCTCTCCAGCAGCAACACCGCCACTGCCACCGTCACCGCCACCGCCACCGCCGCCGCCGCCACTCGCCCTGCACTGCCTCGAGCGGGTCACATCCAACCAGTACTGCTGCCGACCTACGCTCAACTTTTGCCTGCTCGAGATCGCCAACCTCAGACTTGGTCGTGCAGGGATGCGCCGGAAGATTTGAGCGATGGAGAAGTGGAAATCTTTCTTCGAATCAGGGGCTTTGTGGAGAGGTGGCCTGAGAGCAGGAGTACGGCGCAGCGAGTGTGGGAAAGGGCCGGCAGGCAGGTCAGTCTATCGCCGCGCGCGCGCTTGCAACCAATCGTGCATCGCTGACTGTGACTGCTGCCCCTGACTCACGGCGCTGACTGTGACGGCTGCCCCTGACTCACGGCGCGCTCACGTCACGCAGCTGGCAGGACTGCCTCGTCTGCCTCCTCGCACATCCGCCTCTAGCCATGCCGATTCGTCAGCGTCGCTCTTATCGCTCAACTCCACCGACGTGGATGATGCGGCATTTTGGCCCCAAGTTCCCGATGGCATCTCTTCCGATACTTCAGGCCAGAGGATCGGCAGCACATCGCAAGATCGACTTCCTGAAAAGTTGGCAGATACGGTGCTGGAAGGTGCGGGCGATGCGGCGTTGGAACGCATCTTGGGCAGCGCGGGCGTCTTGCCCGTCGAGAGCGCACCTCATCAGCGGGATGTGCAAAGTGCACGGCGCTCGGAAATGGATGCGCCCGTACAGGAGCGACCAGTGATTGCCAGATCCGCGTCTGGATCGGCCGTGCCGCTCGTAGGCGGCTCGAGCACCTGGTGGGGTCGCTCGCTGCACGAGCTGCACGATCTGGCAGAGAATTTGGAATGGAGGCTGAGGGCCTTTTGGACGTACAAGGTGGCGGGCAGAGAGGTGCGCATCGAGGTGTTGCCTTGCTTTGCAAGACATCAAGATGAAGCGACAACAGCAGCAGCAGCGGGTTGGCGCACGCACGAGAGGGATGCGCAGCACGAGGAGGGCAAATCCAGAGTGATTGCTGCTACAACGCTGGTGTCGGATGCGGCAGGCATGATCGACGATTCGCTCATCATTCCAAAGCACATGATTCAAGCCTACCTGCGCTCCGACTCGAGATTCACCATCCAGCACAACGCTACTCCGGACGACATTTGCGCGCTCAAAGTGCGAGCGCTACTCATGCCCCAGAAATCGCTCGCTCAAACCGTCTTGCCATCGTCGGAACAGGCGCAGGGCGAGCCTGTCAAGGGACCTTGGCACACGCTGACTGTCCAGCCGATGAGAAGAGGTGTTAGACGAGTTCGATTGATCAGCGATGTGGACGATACCGTGAGGCACACGCACGTTCTGGGAGGCACACGGGCAGTGTTCCGAAACGTCTTTGTTAGGAATCATCAAGAGGTGCAGGTCGAGGGCGTGTCGCAGTGGTACGACGCCATGGTGCGCTTAGGCGTAGGCATTCACTACGTCTCCAACGCTCCCTGCGAGCTGCATGCCGTCGTTCGAGGTGAGCAGTCTGCGGGGAAGTGCGCTCATCCGCATTCGTGATTGCTGACGTGCACGCGCTGCCTCGTCGCTCTACGCGCGCCAGACTATCTGGCCAACGCGGGACTGCCCAGCGGACAGTTGGCTTTGAAACACTATCCCGCCGTCACTACCAGCTCACTCATCGCTTCGTGGCTGCAACCAGCAGCTGCGCGCAAGCGTGGCGCTCTCACCGGCATCATGACCGACTTTCCAGACGACGCCTTTATCCTCGTGTGAGTCGAATGCATGTCCCCGCCTCTTGTGCTCATGAGAGATTCTCGATTGACAAGACGTGAACGCTGGGCTCCCCACTCTCAAGTGGCGATTCGGGCGAGATGGATCTGGACGTGTACACCGAGCTGGCCATTGCTCGTCCCAATCAAGTGGCGGCCATTCTCATTCGGGACGTATCGACTCCAACTTCTTCCAGTGTGCCGTCCAGCAGTTCCCACTCCAGTCTCGCCGAGGGCCGAGCACCCAAACGCAGCAACACGATGCTGAGCAGTGCCGCCTCCACCTCTACCACGTCATCGTCCGCATCAGCAGCCTCCAGTTCGACCGAGCCGGACCCATCTACGCTTGCGTGGCACGCCAGACTCGTTCGGGCTAGTCGGGCCCTTCCGTCGAGCGTTGTGCTGCAGACTTGGAGAGAGGGCAGGGATGTGCAAAGTTTGTGCGAGTACCTCGTGCAGAGCCTGCAATCGAGCGACGGACAGAGTGGCAGCTAGAGGAGAGCCACGCGCGGCGTCAAAGCTAGTAGCCCACCTTCCCCTCCTTCCCTCTTGGCGTCGGGTGGCAAGGACGACAACGTGATGCGCTAGAGGTCCAAATTTGCTGGCCAATAAAGCGCCGCAGCCTCACAGCGCTGCAAGCGCTACTGGGTCTGCCCGGCTTTCATTCGCGCTTGCGAACGCCACCGTGAAAGCGCAATGCGCGAGGCAATGGCCTGCGTGCTCGTGGCCATCGTGAATGACAATCGCACGAATGGCGAGAGGGGGGAAATGTGATTGCGTGCTCGTGCTCGTGCGCGCCTGCGCCTGTGCCATCGCCACTGCCATCGCCACGCCAGCCGTCGTGCGTTGTCTGCGCAGGCGGCAGATGAAAGACCACATCCAGCTCGACTTTGTGGCGAGAGCAATACATTCATCCTTCGCTTGCGCTCGCTCAATATTTGACCTTCTTGATCTCGCTTCCATCATCTTCTGCACATCACAACTCGCTCCTACAACCAGAGCTGGTCTTTGGCTTTCTGAACGCCCTCCTTTCGGTTTGCCTTTTCGCTTCTCTTTTCGTTTCTTTTTGTTTTAGGCCATTCTAAACGTTTCCTGCTGGCCAGGAATCGACTCGCGCTCGACACGCGCCTACTGTTGCGAAAAGAGATGAAGCAGAGGCCAATCCTGACCTGCTGGGCAGCAACGATCACGCTAAGCGCTTGCGCTTGTGCTTTCGCTTCAATCTTTGTACCAGCAGCAACAGCAGCACCAGCAGCAGCAGCGGCGGCACAAACGCACCGTACTGCTCGGGATGCGCATTCATCGAGCGACGACGCTCTGTTCAGACGCGCCCCGCTCAAGCCGCTCGGCCTGCCTGAGAAGGCTCTTGAGCTAAATGCTGCCCCGAGCGTGATCGATCGGGTCGATGGCGGCGGTACAGTCCCTGCTGCTGGATCGTCGAGCGGCCCCCCCGAGCTGCCTGAGAGCTCGCATCGAGAAGCGAGACCACCCGTGAGTCAAAGCGAATGAAATGCCTCGCATACCCGCATGCTAACCGATTTTGTCATTTCGCAGCCCGATCTCAACAAGAAATTGGGAAGACCACAAAACTACAAGGGAAACTTTCCCGGCAAGTCCAAAGGTGCTGAATGGAGGCGCGAGAATACTGAACGCTACGAGCTCCTCAAGCATCGACGTATCATCAAGAAAGAAATGGGCCTGACGTCGTCCGGAAAGAGCAAAGAGGATTGGCCACCTTGGGACGGCAGGAGCGCGCACCATCACGCCTGGCTCGAGTCACCTCAGGGCAAAGAGTATATCCGCAGGGTCAATGAGCGCATCGCAGCGGATCCAGCGACGCTCACGGATGTCGGCGGAGGCTCTCGCGGTCTTTCCTGGGGCACTTCAGCATCCGCAGTGCGACGCAGGGAGAACCCCGAGCTGCACGCTGCTGCTCGAAGGAGACGCTTGGTTCGCATGTCCTTGGGCCTGCCCTCGCATACGAGCAGACAGCAGCCACTTCCAGACTGGGACGCTCGCAGCACGGGGCACAAAGCGTGGCTCGAAAGCACGGTAGGACGATTGTATACGCAGCGCTTGCGGGATGAAGAGCGCATTGCAGCCGAGCATCCTCGACCGAAACGCGTGAGTAGGCGTGTCGGCATGTTGCGCGATCGCGATCACTGCATTGACCTGGTCGTCTCGATGCAGCCTCCGGGCACTCCAGCGCCAATCCGTCGACCAAAGCAGCTGGGCGGGCAGGTAGCGCTACCCCAGCAAGTGCCGCATGCGCAATCGTCGTCTGCACTCGGTGGCCGTAATGCAGCAGAGCCAGAAAGGCCACCCTCTGATCACGCAGACGAGACATCGCTATTGGTCGCTCGCACAAGGGTTCCGGATGACTCCATTTTCGGAGGGATAGAAGAGGCCTCTCCGAGCGCATCCTCCGCTGCAGGCGTGGATAGATTGCCTGCCGCTGTCAAATTCTTGAGGACTCGTCCGCACGCCATGCACAGGCTCCTTGCCGCCGACACGCCAGGACTTCATCAAGGGTACGCCAATCAGGCTGGCGTCTCCAAAGAAACTCTTGGCAGAGCTCTCTCGCAGGCGTGGGGCGAACACTCTGCTGCTCGCGCAAGCCGTGCTATCGACGTAGGCGAGGGCGACTCAAAGGTAGTCGCTTTTACGCAGGCTCACGCCGAACGCTTGAAGAATCTCTCGCCCGATCAGAGACGCAAGGTTGCAGCGCTTCAGTCGTACTTTGATTCGAATCCACGAGATATGCATCTGGCCATGTCGCATACGGACCTTCGCGCAACGAGAAGGTCGGCCAGAAAGCTCAAGGTGGAGCCTGCTACTCTCGCTGATGCTCTCAATTTGCGACGTCCTATTGTGCCTGTGGCCAAAACCAAAGGGCGGCCAACCGCGCGCGCGATGCGACATGTTGGCGAAGAAGAGGTTCAAACGAATCGCGAAGCCATCTTGCGGGCACTCCAGGAAGGCGAACGTCTTGGCATGATGCCTCCTCGCAATCACAGTGGCCCGCAACGAGTAAAGAATAGCCGGACGTCCGCTCACGATGATCGTAAGCGGCTGTACCGAGCCTTGGGCGTCGAACCGCCCCGAAAGTTCGGACCGTCAAACACCAGACTCACCCCTGAAGGCTGCAGAAGTACGCAGCTGCGTGATCTCAAACGTGCCGCACAAGCCGCCAACGGCAGCACAGAGTGCGCGTCGATGATGAAGAAGCAAGCGGGCCAAACTGCAACGAGTACCAGCGCGACCGACCACACCAATCCCCTTTTGACCCACTCTGATCATTCCAAACATGTGAGCAGTTCTGCCAAGGGACTACAACAGGATTTGAACCTCTTACCTGGTCAGGCGCTCGATGATCTCGAACGCCAAAGGCTGGCACCGCGTGGACTCGGCACCGTAGAGGAAGCGGCTGCATCTGCGTCGGCCAAGCATCTTGAAAGCGCACCGATCGAAGCTGTCAAGTCGAACACTCCCGCATCAGCAAGCAAAGTGGCATCTGCCACGACGACGAAGCCAGCGGCCAGCCATGCCAAGAGACGACCACACAACACGGAGCCCCTGGCGGTCTTTAAAGGCGCGACCGGCTATGCCCAACTGCTGCGTTGGAACAAGAGTTACACCACGCAAGGACTAGAAGTGCCGGCACACATAAGGCTGCCCAAGAACGCTCTGAGCAAGGGGCAGTACTACAGGTGGAGAATGAAAGGACTCAGCGACGAAGAATTCATGGCCAAGTTGGAGGATCCCAAGCGCGCTGACATGGTAAAAACGGGCAGGTCCTACCGCAAAACGCCAATGGGCGTTCAGAGCACGCAGTGGCGGGACAAGAGGAGGGTGCTGGCTGTCAGCGGAGCGCCTCAAGATGTGAACAAACGCTTGCAGCCCGGTGAAGGCAGCATCGTATCGCAGAGGCTGGACAAGGAGTTGACCAATTTGTCTCGCAAGGGTCAGATTGCGCGCCTATTTGGAGAAGACCCTGCGGCCGCTTTGCCATCGTGGGTACCGCGCTCTTATATGCAGCGAGCGGGTCTGCTTCGTGGAGATCCTTCGCTGGGCGGATACTCGCGGTCCCCGACTCGCGCTTCGGCCAATCCTTCGGAGCCGGGTCATTCGCACACTCTGGCCTCTTTGAAGGAGTCGTCGCCCGCGACGCATGCAGCGCCCCAACGTCGCGCCGTAGCGTCTCGTCTGGACGATCAAGAGGTGGGACGCGCGATGCTCTATACTCGGGGCTTGTCCGAGCCTGGCTCTGCGGCTTGGAAAGAGACGGAGGACTCGCTGCGCAAGGCATCTTTCTCGTCGGCCAGCGACGCAAACCCATCGTTTGGCAAGTTGAAAAAAAGCCATTCACATGCACCGGCTGTCGACACTGAGCTGAGGCTGGGCTTTCCGGAGCAAGGGTCTGTCTCGCCGCCGCCGCGCGCTGCTGTGCCACCGCAAGACACTAGCAAGCGCACCCGCGTAGATACCGAGTTGAGCCTAGGCGGGTCTAGTGCTAAACGTCCAGCAGTCGACATGAACGAGCTTGTGACGCCACGTACGGCCCATCTCGATGCGTGGAGGCAGCCAAATGGAACGCACAAGCATGAGCGCCCAGGGCATGTGGATGGCGCACCGCTGTACACCTCGCTCCCGCCAAAAGCCGCGTATCGAGGTGCCGGATCGTATTCGGAGCTGCTGGATTGGAACAAGGCGTATGGAGAGCGGCGCCACGTCCCAGCAGAGATCAGGATTCATGACCGTGCTCCTGCCAAGTCGACAGTCTGGCATTATAAGCAGCGAGGCTACACCGACGAACAGATCATGGGCTTGGTGGACAAGGGGTTTTTCAGGGGACTACGGGGTGATGCGGTGCAGGCTCTGACCCCCTCGGGCCGATACGACAACTACGCACGATACGCCAACGCCACTCGACTCAAGCAGCGCAGAGAGAGTGGGCAGTCTGCTCAGGACAGCCAAAGACTTCGCAGCCTCGACCGCAGTCACGCCACGCCCGCAGTCGAGCAAGCCGGAGATGGTCCCGCTCACGGCCGGGTCGCGCCGAATCAGCTTGTGCGCAGAGTTGTGCACGGCGATGGAGACCGATCGATTGACGACTTTTTAGCCGCTGTGATGGAGGGGCACGACTTCCGACTGCCACACGAGCTCGAAAATTTGCACGATAGTCCAGTCCGAGCAGCGAGCCCAAGCGCCTGGAGCGGAACGCCTGCCAGTCAGACGCGTCACAGTGGTGTTTTAGGCGAGCAAACGCCACACATTTCCGCTCCACACGCGCTGCATTGGGACTCTGCTTCTCCTCAGAGTGCGGACAGCAGCGTACCTGAAAGCAGCAAAGCTTCGTCTGCTTCCTCTCACATGCAGACCGACTCGCTCTCAACGTCCCAGCAAACGACGTCCAGCGCACTTGGAAGACAGCACAAGACGCGTAAAGGAGATAGTCGACCTCGTCTTGCCATGTTTAAAGGCGCGAGGAGCTACGACGAGCTGTATAGTTGGAACAAGGAGTATTGGAAGCATGGCGATGAAGCGCCGGTGCATATTCGTTTGCCTCGGACAGCACCAACACCGCCCGCGGTGTATTATCGAGCAGTAAAAAAGGGAATACCACACGAGACGCTTATGGAGGGCATTTGGAGCGGCCAATTGCGGGCACAGCCGTCGGGACGTCAACGCAAGACACCCGAGGGGAACAAGAGCACGCGGTGGAAGGATCGTCAGGTTGCGATCGCGAAGCTGGGACTCGTGCCTCGGCGAAGCACGTTTGCGCCCGGGCTGGAACGAAAGACGCCGGAAGGCTCGGGCAACACGGCAAGATTGGACAAGTACGTCACGGAAGCGCTACAGCAAGCAGCAGAAGGAACGGCCAAGCTGACGGACGTAGAGAGGGCCGCTCTCACCAACTTTAATAGTGTGGGGAGGCCCAAGGCGGCACGACAATCGCTACCAGCACATCCGACGGCCCATTCGCCTCCCTCGACGCCGACGGACCATTGATCTCATAGCAGGGAGTTGTGTGCGCATCTCAACCGTCAGCACTCGTCTGAAAGCATGCATTGGGCCGATGCTTGTCCTGTAGTCATGATGCAGCGTGCAATTTGTTTCACAAGTGGCAGCTGACCGAATGCAATCGAATCACGAGTGCGGAGTGCTCCTCTTCGAGTGGACGTTGCCGTTACGACTCTGAGATGATGCAGCTGAGGCTGATTTCGGCCGTTGGAGAGGTTAGCGTTGTGATGCGCTACAGCGCTGGCGGCATCACTGCTCTCTCTCACTTCGGACTCACATTTCTGTGCGGATGCATTGACCATCTCGAACGCGGTATCCTGCACCACTCGAATCTCTCGCACAGGAGTCGTCACTGTCTGCGTCTTGAGCCAGTCGCGATCCAAGTGCGCACTGGCAGGATGTCCCGAAACATCTTTTCCGGCCTTGACCGCTTTGATGAGGTCCAGCAGCTCATCATCCGTGCAGATGCTGGTCGCCAGCGCAGGGTTATGAATAAAGTTGCTGCGGTGAAGCTGATTCAGAGGATCGGTGCGTGCAGAGGTGGAACTCTGACTCGAATGGGTGCTGGTAGAAGCGGCATCGCTGCGGTTGTACGGGGTGGTGCTGACGGGCATCTTGAGTGTATGCTTGGTGAAGAGTGAGTGAATCGTAGATGAGAGAGATGGTCCTTGAGAATGGTAGATGGATGGATGCACCGCACCGCAGGGCGAGCGAGCTGCTCCTTCTTATACTTTCGCCATGTCAGAGAGCGAGCGCCCCTCTATACAAAACCTCGTCGACCACTTGCGGTCATATCTGCATCAGACGGAACGAAAAGCGTTGGATCGCATCAGAGACCGACATGCATGCGTGCCGCGCCGCGCCGCACATCCCCGTTCGCGGCGCGACGAGTCGCCTGGCTGTGGACGGACGCATTCGCTGACTTGTGCAACTTTACTTTTGCCGCCAAACGAGCGCCCACGCCCGCGAGGGTGTCGAGAAGCATGGCAGATTGGCGAAGGAACGTCAAATGCGTGATGTTGGTGAGACTGCCCGCCTTTGTCAGTGGTGGCGCCGCGATGATGTCGGATTACCCTCGCCGCAGCATCTCCGCGATGAGACCCAGGAATCGCATGCTCGCGTACAGCCCATGACGCTGCAGACGGCGAGTCCTGATCCATCACATGCCCTTGATGTGCAGCCGAACTGCAATGTCGCATCCACATGCACACACGCACACACACACGCATGCATCCGCACCGGATGGATCACTCAGACTGCACGCCAGCAGGTCGTGACTCTGGCGAGGCTTCGAGACACGGGACCCGCGAATAAGCTGTCACAGTGGTGCGAACATCCGCAAGCTTCGCCGAGCAGCGGCAACTCGACACACGCCGCCGGCGAATGGGCGCGCGCGTGCTGATCACACAGAGCGACACATCCCAGGCTCAGACTGCATCGGAATATTATCTCCAATGTCTTGTTTCTCGGATTCAGTACCCGAGCCCATTGCGATACTCTACAAATGCTCGGAGGTTCGTAGTGCTCTCATCCGCCAACGCTCTCAGCGCGCCATCGGTTCGCTTGTCGATGGTCTTGGCCTGCGAGTTGGGGGCACGGGATTCCATGTCAGCAGAGTTGCGGCATTGCCCGGGACGCCTGCCGACCGCGCCACTCACAAGACTTTTGACGGGTCCCACCACCTTTCTCAAGCGCGGCAAGAATGCCTGCTGGCGAAAGACGGGCTCGTCGTAAGGGCTAGTCTCGTCTGCAAACGTGTCGATGATGGCATTGGTCGCAGCGACGAGCGTATTGGGACCGATGGACCTGTCGGGGGCGAGGACCGATTCGAGAATCTGCAGTACACCCTGCGCAATTTCGCCCCGGAGCGACATTTCCAAGGATGGACTGCGCGCAATGATGCTCAGGATGCCAAGGGATTTCGCGCGGGAAGCGTCGTCGTCGTCGGCTACCGACTGCGACGTGGCACTGGAAGCGATGCCGGAGAGGCATACAAGGACAGCGTTTGGCTGTTGATCATGCCATGCGAGCGGCAAGTCTGCCCCTTCGTGCAGTTTGGCAAGCGTGTAGAGGACCAGCAGACATGCGCTCGTAATCTCGAGCTGGTCCTTGGTAGAGGCGCTCAAGACTGCTTGCAAGAGGTCAAAGGAGTCGCACCACGTCTGCAAAAGAGGTTTGCTTGTGGTCCTCCATTGCGCAAATACCTGCCTCCATCTACTCATGTGCTCAGGCGCCTCTGGACTGGATGGTGGCAGAGGAGCAAACGGCGCGACTCCGTCGAACAGGTTCGACACCACGGACAAGGCGCGACTAGATAGACCCAGCAGGCCTTCCATCCTGGCGCTCGCTTCTGGCTGGCACTGCGAGGCGGCAGCGTAGCATTGCGTTGCCATTCCGACCAGGTTGACGGACAGGGAAGAGTCGATGATTCTAGCTGCTGGATGGCTTGAGAATGACTTGCCATCCCATGAAGAAGTGATTCTTGCCTCTGCAGCCACCTCCTCTTCGTCCTCATCAAGGGCATCAAAAATTTCCAACTCGTCCGATTGCGCATCCTCATCGTCTACCATTGCTGCGTCTGCGTCTGCGTCAGCGTCTGGAGCGCGATCCTGCACGGCGTCGCTCAAGCCCGAACTAGACACGCTGCCCAAAAGTTCAGCGATGATCTCGAGCGAGAGCTGCAGGATGCCAAGCCTGTCCTCCGCCGCTTGTCCAGCTTTGGTCGTCGTCTGGCCCTCTTCGTCTGCAAGCAAGTCGCTTCCGTTAGCTGTGGCTGCGCCGGGAATGTGTCCTGCATCTGCGCTCTCGCTTCCCTCCATGTCGACATCTGCAGGCTTTTGAGCAGCTCCTGAGGATGTGGCGCTCTCCTCGCGCTGTACAGCTCCAAGATCCTCGGTCCACTGCCATTCGGCCCCGTACAAGGACAAGACGTCCGTCAAGCAAGGCAATGCATGTTGTAGCTCATAGGCTTGCAAGTGGGTGGTTGAGATGCGCACATGATTTGCTAGTTCTGCTGGAAGCGCTGCATTGATGTTCCTGAGCACGCCAAGGCTCAACAAGCCCAAGTGCACCACGTTGGTGGTCTGCTCGTCTTCGCCGCCGCTCGCTCGAGTCCTCGCACGATCCAAAGCACTTTGCAACAGGCGTACCGCACATTCGAGAGCATTCAAGTTGCTCTGCGCATCTTGAGCAGATGGATCAGGCCCCACGCTGGCCGGGTCTAGCCTCGACTTGGTCTTCTTGCTTGCCCTTTTGCCCGCGCCGCCGGTCTTGCCTGCGTGGAGTGCCCGCTCCAAGTCCAACCTGGCTACACCCGTCAGCGCGGCTGCCGCTGGAGGGTGAGCTTCGGTGAGACCGATGAGGGCATTTGCTGCTGCGTTGCCCGCTTCCACCTCTAGCGTGCTCTTTTGAGCAGCGATTCGAGCGAGAGCGCTCAGAGGCTCCGAAGAGGCATGCTGATCGATTTGACGCATGCCAGCCAGCGATGCTCGCTCGACGATGGAGCAGAGCACGCAGGTGAGTGCTGTGAGGTGAGGGGCGAGAGGCGCGAGATGCTGGGAACCGGCTTCCAAGATGCACCACAGCGACACGCAAAGGTTGATCTGTCGGGTCAACGCCAACGCCGTCTTTTCATCGTCCTCGTTGGCAGGGGCGGCGGCGGCAGCGGCAGCGGTGACGTGGTTGTCAGCATCAGCATCCATGGGTACATCGCCATTCTGAGTCTTGGGAGCAGCGGCGGCAGCAGCATCTTGAGCTGCCGCTGCCGCTGCCGCTGCCGCTGCCTTTGCGGCTTTTGCTGCGTGCCTCTTTTCCTTTTTGTTCATCTGCTCCATCGGCTTGTCCACCGCTTTGATGTGGCTGGGTGCCATCGCAACGCCATCTCGGCGCTCCTGCGCGTAGCTGTGGGCGCTGGCATGATGCAGCCTCATGCTCAGCATGGCAGCGCTGCTTTGCAACTGATCGACGATGACGATCAGCGCGCCCTGCTCTGCCAAGCTCCTCCTGGCGTCGAAGCCGGCCTGAACGCAGAGGTTGCGCATGGTGCCGCTAGCCTCTGTCCTCACATCCGCATCGTCGTGCTGCAGAGCGCTGATCAATCGCTGTACGAGCTTGTGCTTGGCCGACAGCAGCACTCTGCGTTCCGATTTGTTGGACAGCAGAGCGGAGAGGGAGGATAGCGCCCACAGCGTGTCGCCCGAGGATGTTGGTGGTGCGGGTGGTGGTGCGGCTGTGCTTGACGTGGTTGCAGAAGGAGGGGCGTGGGTGTGGGCGCGGGCGTTGGCGTGGGCGTAGGAGAGGGGCAGCTTGGATAGCAGCGGGATCACAATCTCCTTTGCCGTCGTCGTCGTCGTCGTCGTCGTCGCAGCTCCTGTGCGGCTACTGTTGCTGTTGCTGTTGCCGCTGCCTCCGCCGTCGAGGGTTGCGTGTTGTGCGCCATGGCTGCCGCTAGCCCTTGCGATGGGATCGTGCCGCTTGGCTCTGGCTCGCAGCCTGGCTGGATTGCTGCGAGCTTTGGGCATTCTCCTCCGTCGTTTGGCGAGATGGAGCGGTGTGTGTGTGTGTGTGTCGGCTGCACTTGCGCGTTTTGCAGCGCTCTTCACTTGCAATGGTGGTGGAGCAGAGGGAAGGAGGAAGCGTGGCAGAAGAAGCTGCTTGCGCGTTCTGCCTGCCTCGCCTGCCTCGCCTGCCTCGCCTCATCTTCTCCAAGTTTCCGTCAAAAAAGTCGTCAGTGCGAGTGCGAGTGCGAGTGCGAGTGCGAGTGCGAGTGCGAGTGCGAGTGCGAGTGCGAGTGCGAGCGCGGTCACGGACAGACAAATTTCTATCGGCCGAGAAATGCCGGGCGAGCAAATCTCAAGTCGTCCGTGCGCGGTCGCGGTCGCGGTCGCGCATGAGCAAGCCACCTCCACCGCCGCCGCCGCCGCCGCTTGATGGGGGCGCATCCGTCGAGCAGCAGCAGCAGCAGCAAGGAAGGCACCTTGATGCTGATGCTCCTGCCTGCATCTGTGCCATCAGCAGCGATGCAGCCACGCACCGCACTCGCGCCGCGTTCATCGCTGCAGCACTCACCACTCACCACTCCGCACTCCCACTCCCACTCCCACTCGCACTCATAACGACCACGCTGTATGCATGACAACATGTAGCCTCATCCATCACCCGCTTCACCCACCTCTACCATCCCTCGTCCCTCATTCCCGCACTCCTCACCGTTCCACCCGCGTCGAGATGGTCAAGGTGCCTTCCGTCTCGCCTACCACGGGCAATGCAGGTGAGTATGGGGCACAAGAGGTCCAGCATACAAGCACAAGCCATGCTCATCCGCTCTGCTCTTCCCCACGCCACGCCACGCCACGTCTCACAAGTCCCGCCATACTACCTGCACGCCTCCTCTGCTCACTTTCGCGACACCAAGGGCCGAGCAGTGCTGCTGCGCGGAGTCAACCTCTCTGGCTCCTCCAAAGCGCCATTGGGTCAGCCCAGTCAGAAGCTGCAAGGCTTTTGGGAGAGCGCAGAGAGCGGCCAGGAGAGCTTTGTGGGGCAACCGTTGGATCTGGATGATGGCGGCAGCGCTGATGTGCACCTCGCCAGGCTTCGACTGTGGGGCTTCAACTGTCTGCGATGGGTCTTTACCTGGGAAGCGTTGGAGCACGAGGGTCCGTGAGTCGTTGGCCGTGGTGCGGACACGGCGATTGCGCTAGCAGTTTGTGGCCATGTGTGCTCATCGTCCAGGTGGCCTGTGGCGCTAATCTCGACACAGCGGCAAGTACGACGAAGAGTATATGCACTACACTGTGCGCGTACTGAGAAAGGTCAAGCAGTACGGCTTCAAGGTGTTTATGGATCCGCACCAGGATCTGGTGAGTCACGAGTGCGACATGTGCGCATCTCACTACACGCGCTCACTCGCACTCGCACTCGCACACGCACACGCACATGCCCACGCCCACTCCCTCGACTCTATCCTGCCCGTCCACCAGTTCTCACGCTTTACGGGAGGATCTGGCGCGCCGTTCTGGGTGCTCACCGCCTGCGGTCTCAATCCTCGCAACTTTACAGCCACGCAAGCCGCCTTTCTGCACTGCGAATGGCCCAACGCTTCCCATCCCAGTCCCATCGACTTCCCAGACATGATTTGGGCGACCAATTACACTCGTCTAGCAGCTGCAACGCTCTCTGTGCTCTTCTTTGCTGGCAGCGAGTACGCTCCAAAGTGCATCATCGACGGCATCAACATCCAACACTGGCTGCAGAGGCACTACTTTGATGCCGTCGCTCGGCTGGCCTCCAGGATCAAAGATGCAGGCAACCTCTTGGACGAGTGCGTCATTGGCTGGGATTCCATCAACGAGCCCAATCCCACCTACGTTGGGCTGCAGGACCTGGCTGTGCTGCCGAAAAAGTGGCAACTGAGAAAGGGTCCCATGCCTACGCCCTTGCAAAGCATGCGTCTGGGCGTCGGCCAAGCGCAGACGGTGGAGAATTACGTGTTTGGAAGCTTGGGACCCAAGAGGCAAGGTAGCGTCACCGTCGATCCCAACGGCAAGAGCATCTGGCTCTCTGCGGAAGAGGATGCCATCAACGGCGGACCGCGGTGGGGCTGGAAGAGGGACTCGCAGTGGCCCGTGGGCAAGTGTTTGTGGGCAGCACACGGCGTGTGGGATCCATCGACGGGCCAGCTGCTCAAGCCAAACTACTTTTTCGAGACCTTGGCACCGCCGGAGGAGAGAGAGGCGTTGGCTAACAAGGGTGTACGTTTGTACAGGCCCGTCGATTTTGTGGCGGATTTTTGGCTGCCTCACTGGAGGGGTTATGCAGCTACTCTGCGAGCCATCCATCCGGAAGCCATCATGTTCCTGCAACCTCCAGTCTTCGAGCCACCGCCCAAGGAGCTGACGTACGACGATCTTCGTGGTCGAGCCGCCGTATCCGCTCACTTTTACGACGGCCTGACTCTCATCACCAAACACTGGAATTGGTTCAATGCGGATGCTGTGGGCTTGCTGAGAGGCAAGTACTCCAGCGTATTGAGCGCAGTGCGAGTCGGCTCGAAAGCCATCCGAAACTGCATACGAGATCAGATTGGATACCTCCGACAAGATACGTTGGACGTGCTCGGGGCGTACCCTACGCTTATAGGCGAGCTGGGTATCCCCTACGACATGGACGATAAGCGAGCGTATTTCGGAGACGGTAAAGGCAGAGGCATTGGCGACTATTCTAGCCAGACCTTGGCGCTGGATGCTAGTCTGAACGGCTGCGATGGCGCCAACGTCCTCAACTTTGCGCTGTGGACGTATTGCGCAGACAATACGCATTTATGGGGAGATGGCTGGAACGGGGAAGACTTGAGCATTTGGAGCATCGACGACGTCAAGAGGGATCGTGCAGCTGCATGGCCTTACTCGCAATTATCTGGCATCGTGCGTGCTTGTGACGCCGATCCTAATTTCGTGCCGGGTCCTGGCGCAGGCACTTCACCTCAGTACAGCACCGCCAGTCTCGCTACACTCGTTGCCCAAAGCTCTCGCAGCAGCAGCGACGCTGCTGCGTCACAGACGGCTTCATCGAGCGAAGCGGCACAGCACGTACTTCACGACGCATCGCCGGATGCGCAAGAAGCACCGCTGCTCCTAGCCAAGGACGTGGCTTTGCTGTGCAACGGCAGTCGATCGGCCGCCGCTTTCAGTCGACCGTATCCGATCGCTACGGTAGGCGAGCCGGTGCGCATCGAGTTTGACATCAAGACCTCCGAGTTCACGCTCGACGTCAACGTCACGCAAGAAGACTTGCAAGATGCTCACGACAGCGGTGTGGGTGGAGAACCCATCGCTACCGAAATTTACCTACCCTTTGTACACTACGCAGCGGATGCGCTAGCGGGTGCCGCGAGCGGAAATCTCTTTGACAGTGGCAAAGCGGTGCATTCGGAGCTGAAAAGAGAGCGCGCGCGAGATCTCAAGCGCGCCAACGAGCTCAGTAGAACGAGCACGCAGAGCGACATTGCGGCACGCCCATCCATGGGCAACGACTCTTCCAGCGTGCTCTCCGACGTGAACACGCTGCGGCCCGCGCCTTCCATGCAAGCATCGAGCGTTTACTCGGAGACGGGCTCGTCGAAGATGAGCCAATTGACCAGCAGCCAAAAGTCGCGAAAAAAGTTGCTGGCTGTACCGGCTGGTCGAAGTTCGCCCTCTTTAGTCTCTCGCGACGTCTCTCGTTCAGCGTCCTCCTCGTCCTTGTCGCCCGCGCAGAGCACTCGTATCCCAGAAGGTGTAGCTCTGTCCATCGATGTGCAAATATCGGCGGGCACGTGGTCGGTGCAAGGTCAGCACCTCAAGTGGTACATGAGACCGGTCGATGCGCTTGTAGGAGTCGACGGGTTGGGATCTCAGACGGGAGCACCCTTCACCAAACACACGATCAAGGTCAAGCGGGCAGGCGGACCTCTAGACTTTAGTCGGAGTGCTTCTGTGAGTGTCCCGGCGCGCTCTCGCGATGCTCGCCGAAATGCGCGCGCTCATCGCCTTCTCCACCCCTTGCCCGCCCAGGCTTGGGATCTCATCACTACGGGCTGCGGCTTTTTTTACTGATGCGCCACGACCGTCTCTGTGCGAAGCAGCGTGCATAGCAATGGATAACGTCAGCGTCGCTTTGGGAGAGTGTTTCGACGAGCGCCGCAAAGATGCTCCGATGCGAAGCGTCTGCGCGAGGAGACTGCGTGTCTGGCAAGTCGGTGCATGTTGATTCGGAAAATGTTGTCAGTCAGGCAATGTACAAGAAGCAAGGCAGTGTGGCCTACTGGTATAAGTCGAGGATTCTCCGTGGTGAATCAGCGCGCGCCCCGCCAAAAGACGCGTCCGAAACTCTGCGGAGCTCACTGAGCAGCTCTGATAGGAGCATTTGATGCAGTCAAGACGCTTCTGCCGGAAAAAGCGCCAGCAAGGGGTGACGAGGGCTCATAGATGCACAAGCAAGATAGCATCTGATGGAAGGGAGCTGTAAGCACATAGATGGATATCGGTGCACACCAGTGGGGGAGAGGATGCTGTGTCAGGAATTGCTCCAGGAGGACCAACAAGAGGGTGCTTGTTGCCATCAATGGACAATTCAAAGAAATTGAGTGTGTGTGAATGAGAGCATGTGACAGCCAGGCAGCAGTGACCCAGGAAGTAATTTGTGCAAGTCAGTGCAAAAGCTTGACAGTCAAGCAGTGGGAAGTTCCAAGCAAACAATGCCCAATTCAAAGGATGTCAGCATGGG